TAAATCATCATGCAAAACATTGAACTGTCTGTAATTCATGCCATAGAACACATTCAGCTTGTATCAATGACTATATCCAGAATGCATTCTACTTTTAAAGTTTTATATAGAGTAAAGTCATTCCTAGGGAATGAAATGAGTAGACCTGAGTTTCTTGTGAAAAATCACTAATTTTAGTTTCACTTTATAAGTCCAGGAATCATCATAATAGTGCTTTCTGTTATATTTATTAGTTATTAACTTTATTGATATTATTAGCCTCTATCAAACTTTAAGATTTTTCTCAATCCAATCAATCATTAAACCATTTCCTTATAATGAACCTGACATAGGTGCGTTTCTGAGTTACATTAGAATTCTCACTAAAAGCCCAAATAAATTTAACAAGAATTATTGTTAATATCTGGGCTCCCACAAATTATACTTTTAAAGTTCTCAACCCTATCTCCATATACTAAGGGAGATAACAGTTTTCCCAATTAGCCTTCTATTTTAAAAAGATTATTTATTTTTGGCATGTAATTTTTGCTACAGTCAATGGATATGCTTTTAAAACTTACCATCTGTTAAATGTTTTCATGCATTTTTCCACTAAAATATATATCTGAATTTCACAGCATGAATTAAAAAAATATTTAAATTCAAGTCTTATTGAAATTTCAGGCTTTCATTTAATACATTAATATGAATTTACATATACTGGCACTCACATATTCATTTCTGTGTGTTTACTGGCAATTGTTTCTAGTGCTTATTTCACAATATCTCTTTTCAAAGTAGTATTCTTTGACATAGTCACACTTTGTCTGTTAAACACGGGAGTACTTTTGATTTCCACTAAAAGTACAATCTTTCTTTTTTAATATACATGTCTTTCTTGTTTTATCTTTTTATCTTCCTACTTTTGATGGTGACATGAGTCCAAAAAAGTAATTTTCTACTATAATAAAAATAATAGTGTAAATGCAATGGCACTTTCTTGAATAGAGCAAGAAAATAAGTAATTACAGGACCCACAGTGAGTTAAAGACTTATGCTCTACTTGGTAAGCTGGAGCTAAGCTCTGCTGGCAGTTACTATCAAGAGAGCAAGACCATCACCCTGCTGAGAGCCACTATTCATTTACCTGGCTACATAAGTGGGTTAAAAAATTTTAAATAACATCATATAAATTAAAATCCTAAATACCAAATAAAGTATATCTTTAGCCTCTCGTCCAAATGGCTAAAGAAAAGAAAAAGTATTTTCCCAACTGCCCTCTCATCTGCAGGGCTGCTAAACTGCCTTGAATGGTGTTGGTATTTGACAATATTTTGTGCAGTAATCATTAATTCATTCATTACAGCAAGTAAGTGAGGCATTGTTCTAGAAGCTGGGGATACCATAGTGAATAAAACAGAAAAAATCGCTGTCCTTAGAAAGATTCTGTTCCAATGAGGGAGAAGATGAAAAATAAAAGGCACATAAGTAAAAGTATGTCAGAACTATGGAGACAAATAAAGCTATTACAGTGATGCAGGAAAGAGCTGGTAGTCTTTTGGAACAGGGTGACCACATTGGAGCTGTAAAAGTGGTTGAATTATTGAATTATGGCTATATTTTGAAGTTGAAGCTGACAAGATTTACTAAAACATAAGATGTTAGTGTGAGAGAATAGTCAAATTTTTAAAGTCTGAGCAACGTGAAGGATGAAATTGCCATTTATGGAGGAGAGATTGTGGGTGTTCTCATTTGTTTTGGTCAGTAGTAAGAAAAGCTTAGTTTTCGTTTATTCCTGTTAAATTTGAGTTGTCTTTTAGATAGTCAAATGGTGATGTAAAGTAGGCAGGTGGTTATTGGAGTTTGAACTTCAGGGAAGGGGCTCAGGCTGAAGATATAAATCTGGTAGTCATCAGCATGAAGTCATGTGACTAGGTGATACCATGTAAGTGCAAGTGTGGAGAAGGCAAGTCTTCAGACTGAGCTTTGGGATTTGCAGTTTAGAGGCCGAGGGTGGGAAAATGACCCAGGAAACAAGACCTTGAAGAAATGGCTACAGAGGTAGGGAGAAAACAGGAGATGGTGGTCTGAAAGCACAGCGAAGGAGGATGGTTGAGAAAGGAGGTAGTGAATCAATTGTGTCAAAGACTGCTCACAGGTCAAGTAAGGTGAAGACTGAGGACTGAGAACCTGTCATTAGATTTAGCAATCTGGAGATGCTTGCTGATCTTGACAAGAGCAGTTCAGGTATGTAGAAGAAGATAAAGGAGGCAGCAGCTTTGGGAAGGCAAGAGATAAGGGAATTTTGTTTTTAAGATGGGAGAAATAAAGCCAGAACCTCTTAACTGATGGTCTTGATCCTGGGGTTGCAATCTTACTGAGGAGATTGAAATAAAACAAAAATAACAAAATAGTGAGACCAGGTAATTGACATTAGAATAGTTTAAGAGGATTATAAAGTATTGGTTTCCCAGAGAAGATGAGTTTAAATTCTACTTAAAAATATAAGTTGACTTTAGGTAGATGAAAAGAAATGGAGCAAAGGGGGGCGGGGGGGGGGGGGAGGAAGGAAAAAAACCCCCAGTATGACATTTGAGCAAGATTGGCCTGGATGAAATTCAAATTAAAAAGAGATGGGTGAAAGACCTGGAGAGCTAAGTTCTGCCTTTATTATTTTGGCGATGAAGATAAAAAAAGTTAAATAATCCCATCTCTGGTAGCCCTAGAATTAACAATTAAAATCTTGTTAATAACTTTATGATTATTTTTAGCAATTTTTAACTAGAAAATTCTCTCAAATGTCTTCTTAATAAGCACCAGTAGGTATTAGTGAAGTTAAAGCTAAAACAACTAGATGATTTAAATAGTTACTATGAAGCATGGGGGGAAAAAAGTTACTCTACACATGATAGAAACACTTAAGAACCACAAATTTCTTTTTAAAGTGTTGATTGTATCCCATCTCTGGAATGGTATTTTATAAATAAAATGTAAGACTTAAAACTAATCTATTATATATTTTATAGCTCATAATATCCCCAACTCTTAATTTTGGAAAAATTACACTACTTTATGGTTGTAACTTTTAAGGAAGTTTTATGATATTTCTAATTCATATCATGACACTAGAAGAAATTTCATGAAAGGCAAATATAAATTTAAAGTGCTTTTCAACTATGAGTTATCTTAAAAAGCTTTCACCAATCCTCAAAATCATCCTAAATATTACCAAACTTATTATTTAGAATTTTTAAAGTTATCAAGATTAATCCTGCAGGTAACTAACCAAGTGTTTTTCTCCAACAAGAAAAGCTATTTGGTGGAGCCATCTGAGCCTGCCAAAATTTCTATCATGTGTACGTAAAACATGGTAGTGTATTAGCGATTTACTACTGTTCAACATAAAAATTCCAACTGGGCTCTCCCAAGGTTTTCTAGATTGGTGAAAGTTCATATCTATAGGGGGAGGGACAATCTAAAGGAAGTGGCATTCTCCTAGGAATGTGCACATTCTTTGACAAATTGGCTTTTATTAAGTATCTATTACATGGAGGTTCTATCGTAGGTCCTATGGTTTTATTTAGCCTTAATGGTTCACAATCTAGTAAAGATATGAGTACAAATAGATGTACTTATCATTAAAAATTTTACCAGCCTTAAAAGCCCTATGCTAACATTTGAAATGATTAAGCTTACTTGTGGAGGGAAATAAATCTCCCATCTTTAAAGTTTTAACTGGTCAACTTGTTTCACAACAAAATGGTAGGGCATAAAAGTTATTTTATACCAGCACCTCAAGCAAACAGTAGGATCTAGTTTGTAGGTATAGTGAATGGTTTTAGGTGAAGGCTCTGGGTTTTTAATGCTTTGTTGCCTATCCATAAAAATGGGAAGGTTTGTCAAAGGAAACAGGGAAGGATTGGGGTAAATTTGAGGCAGGTGAGTACCTTTTAGGGCCAACAGTAGAGTTTTCAATGTGATTTATATTATAGAAAATCTGAGTTTAGAGAACCTCTGTGCTTTATCTCAATTTCAGCATATCTAAATATTGTTAAACATCTTTTCCTAAAGAATGGTATGACTGAGGAAAGCATCTAGTTAGTATCTGAGTCAGAGCAGAAAAAATATGAAAACCTATACTATATACAGATATTATCATTGTGGCAACTTCCACCGTATTTATCTCTTATCCATAAAAACTCATAAAGAAAATGAATAGAACATATTTTAATTACAACTGCATTATATTTTAACAATTTTATATAACTATATATAAAATGAAGCAGTGGGGGATATTAAATAAGAGCATGTGATGAAGAAGCAGGGTTTACCAGTTAAGTTTTAGGCTCGAGTTCAAAAAGGAGAGAAACCTATTCACTCTTAGGTATCACTGTTGGAGACAAAAGTGCTTCCAAAACCAGAAATACTGATCATCTTTCTTCTTCAATTGTTTCATCAGGAAGAATCTTTTTCAGGTGACAAAACTTACAAGCTAAATTAAAATGCACTCTACTCATTGGCAAGCCACACCAGCAAGAATAATGTGATCACAGTACTTGGAAGTTTTTGATTTATAACTATACTATTCTCTACTTATAAGGCTGCGGTCTAGGAGGCAGAACAATGAATCATTACAATTGTCTATCTGGGAAATGTCAAAGATTAAGTAAGGGCAGAAGAAGAGAGAAAAGAAAAGAACACACATTTCTGTCTTAGAAATAGTCCTCAGTTAATGAGAAGATATCACTAGCACATAAATCCAGTGCTAAAAAAATGTTAAATTTTTAAAATCTTCAAGTAAAACTACTAATATATCATAATGCTTAAACTTCCTGAACAGATTATTCTCCAAAGCTCTGATAACTCAGTTATTCCTTTTTTAACTATCACACTGATCTACACTGAGTTTGAGAAAGCAAATTTAAATTGAGAAAATGAATTAGACATTTAAATCAATCATTAATGGATCCAGCTTTTTAAAAAAGAACACACAGTTTAATTGATACTTTGCCATACAAAAATAAGCATCCACAGAACGTTTATTTACTGTTTAAATTACTCCATATTTCATATACAATGAACAGAAAATATGTTTTACCCCACACATGATAAGAGCAAACAAGTGCAACCTTTCAAACATTAAAAGTCGGAATAAAATCTGTACAACAGATAAATAAACTCATACCTCAAACAGCTGTAACAACACCAAACCAAGCTAACCCAAACCAAAACATATATTGTCCAAAGTCACTGGTTTACTTAAAATTCTACTGAAGGTCATTATCTCAATCGTAACAACTTGAATCTTTACTAGACTGCACAAGTTTAGATTGATAAATATTTTTTAAAAATAGGAGGGAGTAATAAGAAAAAAAAAAGATTATAAAGAACTTTCCAAACATTGGAAATAATATACAAAATTAGGGGAAAACATATTAAATGGATCCACAGGGTAACTAGTATTACACTGATATAGCTTAAAGAAAAGAAACAGGTGAATGTTTGAGTTGGAAAGAAAATTTGGCCTTTTTATAAAAAGAAGTAATAGCATCAACAATGACAAAACCCTTTAATGGAGCCTAGAATAACTGTGAGACCAAGTGTACAAATATTTAGGCTTGTATATCTGAGAACCACAGTTAGAAAAAAACCATGTCAGGAAACAGCAACAGAACAAGAACATATAAATTAACGGCTTACTATTCATCACTCCACTTCATTGCAATATGGCAAGAAAACAACACTGTAGTCATTCTTGAGAAAGTTTTCAATGAAGTAGGAATTACCACGATGAATATCAGTGTAGACAATCTTATCACAAATTTAGTAAATATCAAAACAGTGTGACACTAAACTAATTATCTCTATTTTTTTTTTTTTTTTTTACTGGAAAGGCAATTATTTCCCTGCCTTCACATGTTAACTTAAAATCACTTATAAATGGAAATATAGATCCAGTAGAAAAAACTTTTCACATGCAATCTTCTACAATGCATTCTGCTTCATCAATTTTTTTTTCTCAGTATTTCACATTGAATATGTACATTTTCTATATATTCAACCATACACATTCAACAGACATCACTGAGCTGTCCTCTTACTGCACACATTTTCATTTACCTATACAATTATATCTCAAGATGAATGATTTTCTCCTCTAAGCAGGCAACAGTTAGCTTGAAGAGTTTGAGTATTTTAAAATTTTAGCAACTTAATATCTTGATTTATCTTGAATGGATGATAAGATGAGGAGTCCACAAAAAAATGCAGCTGTACATGCCAACCTCTTCAATAGAGATGAGTTATCTTTAGGAATAATGATCTGTGCAAGATCATTAGTGATCTGAGAAATTTCATGCGCCACACAAACGAATATGAAAGTGCTGACGATGATGTTGAGCATGGGGTTTCCAGGTATGAGTACTAAGATGCCCCTCGTGTCTGCTGCCAGCCATATGTGATATTGGCAAGTAAATAGCTAGGAGGAAAAACATTTCAAGTTAGATACGTACAGAAGGTCCATGAATATAACACAGTTTTTCCTAACTTAAACATCTGATAGCATTATCACGTTAGCAGACTTCTCCAAAACCTTTCAATTCTGTTTCACTGCTGGTTCTGAAAAGCCTACTGCAGAGTCTCAAAGTCCCGAAGAAATGAACCACAGGGACCTGCTAATTTACAAAATTCTTTGTATGGCATCTGTCTTTGCAAGACAGTTGTCTGGACTCCTGTATTCAGTCAGACCTCAAGTAAAGAATGACTCCCGTGTGTGTGTGTGTGTGTGTGTGTGTGTGTACCTAACTACAAACCTTTGTGTGTCCATATATGTATATATTTATGAATGTTTATGTAGGTATAGATTTTCATTGGAAATAGCATAGTGTTTAAGATGTTCCCATGTTTGCTATGTATGGATCACATTCATAATAGATCACTTTCATATGTTTCTGAAGTGTATTTTAAGTTCCATGAGTATATATATTAGACGACACCACTATTTATTTTTATTGTGATTACAAATGTGGTTCTTTCATCACATTGCTTCAAAATATCAGAGTAGAAATATGCTTAAGATACTTCAACAAATATGAAGACTATGACATTTCTATATTTTAAAAGAAACACTAAATAGTAAATTAATTCAATTAAAGTTTATAAAACTCTCATGTTTTAAATATTAAGGAGCATACAAAATAAATATTCTACAGTCCACTGAATGACTTGGTAAGTCTCGCATGATCAAGATTTTTAAATTCTATGAAATCTGATACTTAAAAAATAATAGAACATTTATTCAAGAACTCAAAAGGGACATTCATTTCCCTATTTTATTTTAGTTAATCCTCACAGGAGGGTATTTTTTATATTGATTTTTACAGATTGGAAGGGAGGGAGGAGGAGAAGGATGTGAGAGAGAGAGAGAGAGAGACAGAGGGAGAGATATGAGAAAGACAAATTGATTGGTTGCCTCCCACACGTATTCTGATTGGGGCAGGGGGATCAAACCTGCAACCCAGGTACATGTCCTTGACCAGGAATCGAGCTCTCGACCCTCAAGTGCTTGGGGCTGGTGCTCTAACCTCTTAGCACATGGGCCAGGGCTTATTTCCCTATTATAAAGACGACAACTAAATAAGTCTTATACTAAAAAATGTACCTTTTAAATAATCATATGCTCTAAAATTTATCTTTTATGATCACAATATAAATTCTGTTTTAAAATATTCTGTTTCAAATACAGCTCAGAATAGTCAGAATGTATTTCAAAACCTACTTTAAACTGATTTTGTAGATTAATTTCACATTAGGTTTTATACACAGAATGTAATGAGTTTTAAAATTTCACCAAAATTTCCAATTATAAGGATGCATTTTATTATGCTAAGAATTATAACCATACTTAATAACGGAGATGAACAAATTAAAATCCTCTTAGCTGATTTCATTTATATCTATTTCACTTTTTTCTCTCCTGATCTCAGCATCTTGGTTGTACTTAAAAGCTCAAGACAGTATAAAGAACACTGTGAAAATCATCTACGTCTAGTCATTTAAATAAAGCTGTAAAACATTACATATGTTACTGCTTTTGAAAGTACTCAATTTCCTCCCTATAATTCCATAAGTAACATAGCTTTGATTGAAAAAATGTCAGGTTGTCCTGACTGGGTTGGAATATCCTCCAGTACACCAAAAAGGCTGAAGGTTTGATTCTCGATAAGGGTGTGTATAGGAGGCAACTGAATGATGTTTCTCTCTCATATCGATGTTTCTCCCCTCCTCGACCCCTTCCTCTCTATAAAAATTACTAAAAACATATACTTGGGTGAAAATTAAAAAATAAAAATAAAAGCATGTTAGATTTACACATACACACATATACAAACATATACACACACACACACACACACACATATGCACATAAACATATATATTTAACACTTGGCTGTGTAAGATAGAGCAAAATATTAATGTACCAACCTCTAATGAAATTTTTCCAAACCAAGCAAAAAATGAACTGTAAACAGAACGGGCATATCCAGGAATATTCCTTATTAGAATAAAGGCTAAAATCTGAAATAAAAAAACCACAAAGGTAAATAATCTGTTTATTAAAAGAATTTTTGCTTTCCTTCAAGTCTTAATATATTCTTTATATTCTTAAACTTGATACATACAAAATGCTCTCCCCCCAATTGATTAGCAAGTTATTTTTGTTCTAGAATGTATACAAACTCGATTTTTTAAGCATGTGGTCTGATACTGCATACCAGTGCAGATACTAGGTAGTACATGGTTGAGCAGTTTATTTTATGCTTATTAAAAAAAAAAAATGAACCCACTCGGAGGCTCTTTGTGAAGAGGGAGATGATATATTTATGTGGCAAAATTTACAAAAGCTCATGATATAGTTTTGCTTCTTCCATAATAATCCTAGATACTCTCCCTGGGGCTCTTTGCTGGGCTACTCGTTTTTCAGGCCTTGGCTTAGACATTGTTTTCTCCGAGAACCTTGCTGTGACATCAAGATGGGTTAGGAAGAAGTCCCATGGTTTCCAAAGCACCCAGTTAATCACTACACTACCGCAATGTCCATGAATACCTGCCAGCAGAGGTGTCTGCAAACATGTAAATCTGATCGGAATTGTCTCTAGCCTCTACCCACCTCCCAGTCTCCAGCACACACTGACGAATGTGGTATATGCTCCTTCCTGCTGCCTGCTGTGCCTTCCTCCCTCCAAATCAGCTGAGATTTCTCAGGGAAATCATCCCTGACCTACACTCCAACCCCACCTAGGTAATATCCCCTCATGATGGTCTATTATTGCATCATGTACTTCTCTTTATAATTATATGATTATTATCTGTAATTGAAGAATGTAGGCTTGATAAGGACATAAAGTAAGTCTGATTTGGTAATCACTATATCCTTCACCATAATATCTAGTACATATTGGAATCAAATATTTGTTAAATGATTAAAAATTTGTTAAAAGCAAATACGATAAGTAAAATTAACATTTCCTAAGTGCCTCTTAAGTGACAAATACTGATCATTTCCATACATTTAATAAAACAACCCCTTTAAAAGATTTTAATATCCCTGTTACAATAAAGGAAACTAGAGCTTAGAAAGTTTAAGTAATATAACTACATTTTAAATAGTTTGATCTCAAATTTCTTTGCCGCTAAAGATGGTGTCCTTAACAAGAATTAAGAAACAATTTCTTCAAATCAAGATAATTACCTGTACCACAGAAACAGATGGGTGGAGCTCATTGCACTCGGCTTTGTTCTTACAACTGCTAGCCCAGATGGAATAGGTCTAAGACAAAACAAAAAAATACGCGAATAGGTTCACAAACGCAGTTAGGCCTTAAAGAGGCAGCATTCTCAGGAAATGCTGACGTTTTCTTTATCACATTATGCTTCATATTATATGTGAAGTAAAAGCTTCAGTAAAACTTCCCCCAGGTGTTCTCATCACTGGTTTGGTGTCTCCACTGCCCAGACATAAAGCTCAGAGAGGGGCTTTGGTCTATGCTGTTCTGGGAACAGTGATTCCTAGGCAGTGGTGGCTCTTCGTGTCAAACACCTTACGTTATATTTCTTCCCAAATTTATTACCATTTTAAAAATTCCTATTTCTCTTAGTTTTCAGTTATTCTTCAATTTAACAGAATTTATGTTCAATTGGAAAACAAAAATAAAAAGAATTTTTAAATATTTTATTTATTTATAGGTTCAATTCCTATCTCTTAAAGAAAATTTTGTAAACCAATTAGGATGTTGGAAAATTAGAATATTAAATTTTGAAACTTACCAAGAAAGAAACTACTGAAATAAACAATAGAACATTTGAAATTTTGTTTGAAAAAAGAGGTTCACCCTTTCCTTCAGAAAGTATTTGACGCTTCTGTAAAGTCAGATAAGTGAAAGCAAACAACATTCCATGAAAGACTACCTGAAAAGTAAAGAGAGAAAAATTTGTTTTAAACAGCTACTTTCCAATAAGTAGCAAAAAATGTGGTAAATTATAAAAATATGTATAAAAGTAATTAAGTTAAAAGTTTATTTTCAGAGTTTCTAGATCTTAAACTTCAAGAGTAAAAAACTTCAAGCAATGAGATAAAGCCTATGATTGCTACAAACTATCAGCAAAGGAAAAGCCAAATCTCTTGTAATGAGACAAACTGGCTCGAACTGAAGAAATAATGCAAGTGAAGAAATAATAAAAATTTAAAAATGTTAATATAAAACTATTCTGAATGCATATGATAAAATTTAATTGTATTCATCCAAGATAAAGCATTTTATATTGGTACTTCTTTCAACAGAATAAGGCACAGGACAATAAAACTACCAAGTTCATATGTTCAAATAGGAGAATATGCACATAAGAGTGGTGAAAACATGGTGAATCAGAGAGCTTTCTTTTTAAATAAAGACTTGATGTGAACTACCATATCATAGTAGACTGCTCTAGTGAGGAAGTTGAGAATTTAAAATTATATTTAATGAAAAGACCTTTGCAAAGCTTTTTATTAATAACTAGAGGCCTGGTGCATGAAATTTGTGCATGGGGGATGGGGCGAGTGTCCCTCAGCCCAGCCCTCTCCAATCTGGGACTCCTCGAGGGATGACCGATTGCCTGGTTAGTGGGACTAAACGGGCAGTCGGACATCCCTCTGATAATCCAGGACTGCTGGTTCCCAACTGCTTGTCTGCCTGCCTTCCTGACTGCCCCTAACTGCTTTTGCCTGCCAGCCTGATAACTCCCTAACCATTCCCCTGACAGCCTAATTGATGCCTAACTGCCCCACTGCCAGCCTGTTTGCCCCTAACTGCCCTCCCCTGTAGGCCTGGTCACTCCTAACTGCCCTCCCCTGAAGACCTGGTCCCCCCACTGCTCTCCCCTGCAGGCCTGGGTTCCTGCCAACTGCCCTTCCCTGCAGGTTTGGTCGCCCCCAACTTCCCTCCTCTGCCGGCTTGGTCACCCCTAACTGCCCTTCCCTGCAGGCTTGATCACCCTCCCAACTGCCCTCCCCTGCTGGCCATTTTGTGGCGGTCATCTTGTGTCCACATAGGTGCAGCCATCTTGTGTTGGAGTGATGGTCAATCTGCATATGTCTCTTTTATTAGTTAGGACAGAGGCCTGGTGCATGGGTGGGGGCTGGCTGGTTTGCCCTGAAGTATGTCCCGGATCAGGGTGGGGGTTCCCTTGGGGCCTGGGGCAGCCTGGGCGAGGGGCCTGTGGTGGATTGCAGGCCAGCCAAGCCCCCTGGTGACCCAAGTGGAGGCCCTGCTATCTGGGGTTTATTTATCTTCTACAATTGAAACTTTGTAGCCTGGAGCGGAGCCAAGCCTTCTTTCTGCTCACTCTGTGGCAGCCACCACTTCTGTTGGGATTTATTTATCTTCTATAATTGAAACTTTGTAGCCTTAAGTGGAGGCCTGGGCTGGCCAGGATGTGCAGAAAGCTTGGTTTCCTCCATTGCTGAGGGCAACCCTAGCCTCCTGCTCTTTACAGCTCCGTGACTGCTGCCATTTCTGTTCGGATTTATGTATCTTCTATCATTGAAATTTTGTAGCCTTGAGTGGAGGCCTAGGCTGGCAAGGGCAGGTGGAAAGCTTGGCTTCCTCTATTGCCGGGGAAACCCAAGCCTCCAAGCCTCTCTCCTGCTCCCTGTGGCCATTGCCATCTTGGTTGGGTTTATTTGCATATTCACTCCTGATTGGCTGGTGGGCATGGCTTGTGGGTGTAGCAGAGTGATGGCTAATTTTCATATTACTCTTTTATTAGATAGGATTAATACATGGTTTTGAAATGCAATGCAGTTTATTGGAAAATGCACAGTAATGGGAACCAAGCAATGGGCCAGAAATAGGCACCAAGAAAACATTTGTTGAATGAAAAATGGGATAAGTGAAAGAAGGGAGGAAAAGGGGAAAGAGTAAATAAAGGGTATTTAATATGTATCCAGTGCCTATTATTTAACAAACACTGTGCTGGATGTTTTATATTTTGTTGGTCAACTGAATGAATCTTAACCATCCTTCCAAGATTAAATTCATGAAATCACCCATGATACCACTCTTTCTTCTTTTCAAATTTCTACCTCTAATTTCATACTACATACCTAATACCCAATTATAAGTAGTAATCTTGGGTTTTAAACTAGATTTTAAGATTTAAGAGCCTGGAGGTATGTCTTCTTTCTCTAATATAGCCTTTATCATACCAACACTAGAGCATATATTGGGACTCAACACATATTGTGAATGGCTGAAGCATAAAAGTATATGATGGATCACCTGTAAGTCAAAATTATAACTCAAAGGCCACTTTATAGACATTTTTACTGTATTTTTCTGCTAATATACATGCATACCCTTTCTCTGCTTTAAAAAAGTAGAGAAAGAGAGCTGTTTTGACTTAGCATATCAACATGTTTCCTTATTCTAAAACTAAAATTAAAAAAAATTCCAAATAATTTTTTAAGAGTACAATATGAAATGGTAAATACATACGTAACGGTCTAATCTCCATCTGAACCACCATTCATATACATTTCCTTTTAGTTCAAAACACTTAGACAATGGCCAAAGAGAAAAGATCTTCTCAAATGCACCCTGAAAAAAGGAATCCAGGAAATAAATTAAAATGGTACAAGTTAATACTTGTTTTGCAAATCATTATAAATAACAATTTTCTAAAGTTAGAATTATATAAGGATCACTCACAGTTTTTAGGTTTTCTTTATTTAACCTAAAAATATCACTTCATTTGAAATTCAATTAAAAAGAAGTTTATTTTACTGATGGCTAATAAAGACGACAAAACATTTTTGTTAATTTACTTTTACTGAGTATGAAAGGATACTGAGACTGAAAATTTTGAAAAGAACAAGCTGGTAATTGGAAAATTATTCCATTTAAAAATTTAAATCTAGTACACAAAACAGCTAATATTTACTGATCAAAACACAAAAAATACAAAAAGCTTCAGCCAATATGCCATAAATAACCTAAGAAATGATAGTTAAGGTTAAAATATAGTTTTTCTTTCTCTAAATGTCCTTAATAATCTATAATTAACCATTTGAGTTCAAAGAATCCTCTGAATTAGTCACCTTAATCAACTGGCAAGTGCCATTACTAGTTTTTGAAACAAAGTTTACAATTTTACTCTAGTGAAGTTAGTGAATTGTGCCCCTATATTAACCTGACAGCCTTGAAAATCTGAGAATGTAGAGGCAGAAGTCTTGGGTACATTCCTGCACATTAATGAAGTTTTTCAAAGAAGGAACAAAAACCTCAATTTCCAGACTTAAGAATGACGACAAACTCTATTAAGGAAAACTCCATTATTAGACCTAATTCCACAGCATAAAAATGTCTAACATTACAATTTTTTAAAAGACTAATAAAAATTAAGAAAAATATGAAAACAGGTAATGCTGAATGCTTAAGTCAGAAAAACTTCATTATCTTAATAAAATATAATAATCTCCCTTTAATGACAGATTTCAAAATGCTTATAGATTGTTAAAAATGGGTCCTATCTGTGCCTCAGTATATTTAGGATAGTTCTTAACAAAATTTTCAATATAAAGTACTTATATATCATATATGCAAACTATATGAAATACAGAAATTCGACTTAACAGGTATATAGCTATTAGTATGATCACATGTATCATATATATATATATATATATATATATATATATATATATAATGTACAACTTTATTTCTGATTAAAATTTTGTTTCTTATATAATCAACAAAGAAGTATTTATGAGCATTCATTATGTGAAAGACCCGGGCTATTTTGAACTATGTACTTTTCTTCTTGTGCGGAGTAAACACTAATCCAGGGTAGGGGAAGCCTTCTTAATTCCTCTATTGAACCTCTGGTCCACCTTCCTTTCTCTTCCTCAGATGTACCACGAGAATGTTGGGAATTTTAATGAATGACTATTAAGTAGTTGTTGTAATTACTTGGCTTATTTCTTTACACATTTGTTTATTATTTCATAGATCTTCTGCAAAAAAACCTTAGAGGTGGAGCAGAAATATAAATGCTTTATTTCTAAGTATGAAAATAAGTATGAAAGCCTACAAAATAAACAAGCAAAAAACCAGCTTTATAGAAACACACACACACACACACACACACACACACACCCCTTATATGGCATTTGTACCTGATGCAACTAGGTACAAGACAGAGTTAGGGAGACAGGAGTAAGTTGTGCAGAATATGTCACAACTACAGGCATTCAAATTAAAATATTTTGTTTATTGTGCTGCCTAAACGTTATGTCCGTGTCATGGACTGAGCAGCAGGTAGCAGTTTGCCACCCTGCTGAAGTAGCTGAGAGAAAATGACCAAACTAATTAAATTAAATATACTACATATGTACAAATCCCGTTGCTCCTAAGTTGGTTTTACTAACTGTCAAAATTTTATTCTGCAGTTATGGAAAAATCAAGTAACATTTCGATGCAATGAATAATGCACAAATCAAGTTGCAAATTCTGTCAAGAGAATTTTGATCTCCACTTAGAGTAGTGTCTTAAAAAGGCATTCAATAAACGTTGATTGATCAAGTAAAATGGGTTCTGAACAACTGCCAGAGGAAGAGCTTTAAATTGCTCTTACAACAAAACAGGGGTAACAAAAGTGGGTCTCAAAAGATCTACATTGAGTAGTCAACTATGGAGTGACACTTTTATTACAGTCATTAAAAAAATGAAGCTAAAGAAAAGCTCTGAGTCTTCTCACATACTTTAATAGATTTGAACTCCAAAGTAAAATAGAACAAAATATAAACTAAAGGCTATACAAACCTGAGAATATGCCAAAAAACATATACATAACAGCAAGAAGGCTAGTTTCAACAGTAAACCAAAATGCCAGAAACAACTTCCTAAGAGAGAAAATATTTAATTTATTAAAAGTTGTTAATTTACATAAGAAAACATTCAATACTATTTAATGTATTAATACGTTGCATAGTTCTTAACATAACTTAAGGCTTCTAATAAGTTACACAAAATACATCTAAGCAATGTAAGTTACAAGTAGGACAAAAAGGAAAAAAGGTAGAGAGGGTCCTTGCTAGGAATGAGGCTACAACATACATCTGATATCCCATATACTCACTTTTCATCCACTATAAATATATTTAAAAACAACTCCTGAATTCAGTTGTACCTGTTCATTATTGAAAGTTACAACAAAATTTGGAACAATACGTTAATGTAATTTTAATAATTGTGTTGAATCCAACCTAAGACTGCTTAAATATTCAGTTTCTAAAGAGAAAGCTTAAGAACTCTCTAATGGACTAGGATTTAACCATAAGATATATTTTAACATATACATGTTTTAAGTTATATGCTCCCAGTTTATACACATTGATTATTCATTTGATTAATATTTTGAGTTTATGTCAAGCAGTTAAACCACAGAGGCTGTCAAAAGACACTAATGGACTTTATGAAAGGCTGGAATTCAACTCTTTCCCTGAAAAATCATTTGGTATTAAAATGAAAGGCAACAGAAAATATTTTTGATATATATACTGGGTTAAGTTAAATACATTATCAAAGATTTTAAATTTTTTTTCCATAAAGGAAAAGTATTTTAATTATATGATCTTAAGGAGGAGGGGAAGCATTAAGTTAATGACTGTGGCCTCACTTTGAACACTACAAGTGACTGGCTATGTGAAATTTGAAGATGACAACCTTTTGGACACTTAGGTTTCCTTATATGAAAAACAAGTTGACAATAACTGCTTAAAGATAAATTATATTAGTGCTTTTTAAAATTGTTTGACATAGAAAGGCTTTTTTGCAAATGAATGTTTATTAAAAATCTCAATATATATAAAAAATCAAATAAAGCAGAGTTGTCAAGGCTGAAGCAGGATGTAAGGAGCAAAGAGCCCTATTTGGCTTTCCTTTCTCTCTCATAGTTCTCTCCATTCTGGCTCTGTACTGTTTGAAACTGCTGCATTAGTTAATAGATAAAATGGCTTTGAAAATTTAAATTTAAAAAAGACATAATATAGATAAAAACTATTATTCTATACTATTAATATTATTTCAATTAGTTATCTGCACCATTTTAGAAACAGTTTTTAAGAACAAACTTTCAAAATGTCAATACTACACATAAATTTTAATTGTTTCATGTCTCAATAAATAGCCTTTAGCAACTAAAAGGAAATTTAGTACATGAACATATTTATTAAAATAAGTAAGAGAGTATATTTACCGTTTGCTTTTTTTTGGATTATTTGAGGCCACAGTGCCAAAGTAACATATATGACCATGAACCATACTGTGACCAAGGGGACAAAGTAATAGAATTGATAAGGCCGATCCATTACTATACATAACACCACTACCAGGAAATTGAGACGAAATAAGACCTATTAAAGAGGAGAAGAAAATGGTTTTCATTCCAGGTAATTCATGAACAGCAAAGACAGATTTCTGACAAAGTATAAATGTTTGACACTAGAATAACCAACGTACAAGCCTATTTTACTAATCCCTAAAATTATATTTGTTTTACAGTCATTGTAAAGAGTTCAATATAAAATATTTCTGCATCGTTATATTAACTAAATCCCAGCAAAGCACAAGCCTGAGGTGTCCTCTGGCTGCAACTGCCATCGTGTTAAATGTTAGGGGGGAAAAATCATAAATCTCATCTTAGAGCTCATTTATAAGTGGAGATTAGATTACCTCAAGAAAAAGTATCCATTTCATCTCTATTTGATGTTGATTTACCCCATTTGGGATTAAATTGAGAGTTGTCATAGATACAAAATGATATTACTCAAATTAAAAAGTATCTTTGGGACTTATATAACAGTCATTTCAGACAGTGTGATGTCATTCCAAGAACAAAGAATTTGAAGGTTGATATCAGCGCTGCACCACTTACTATGTTACCACTGGCAAATTATTTAACCTCTCTGAGCCTCAGTGTCCTTGTCTGTACATGAGAAGATCGCAACTCAGGTTTGTAATGAAAGATAAGTAATGTTCAGAAATTTCCTAAAATAAGGTAGAAACTTAAATATTAATCCTCTTCTTAGAGAGAGAGAAGGCATAGGCTATAATAATAATTCCAGGTAACTGTACATTTCTACAAAACTAAAGTAAATCAGCAATGTTTTCCCTTGTGTACCAGTGCTTCTATTATACATACATCTAAATTATATTTTCCCTTTTCTCAGTAATAAATTATTTATCTCTTAATTATTAACCACAGAACACAGAAATAACACAATTTTAAGTGCCATTTCAAAACTCAAATTATTCATGGCCTTATAATGACAATATTTATATTTTATCAACAGACAGGCACAAAAGCATATTGAACTGAAGAAAAAAAAATAACCGAATACATTCCTACCTGACATACTCTATGGACTCCAAAGTCTCCCTTGATCCAAAAATATGAGAAATGCCCGTAGCCCGTCTGAAATAGATATGCGGCAACCAGAACCCGAACGTGCATGTACACAGGCAAAAACTGTTGACAAAAACAGACATGTCAAATATATGTTGGCACTAACTATACCTTGAATTTCCATAATTAGCACTTTTAACCAAGATAATGGATCACAGTTATAATTTGGTATTATCTCAATAAAAAGATTTATTCTCAAAAGTTAGGCATTATAGCAAGAGTTAAAAAATGTAGACTTTAGAATCAAATAGACCTAGAGTCAAATTCTGGTTTTGCCACTTACTAGTTATACGACTTAAGTCTGAGTCTTCTAAACTGCAAAGTGTTTTTGTGAGGAATGCATAATTAATATAAAAGCACTTTGCATATTTCTTCCAGTTAGAACTAAATATATGATATCAAATTATTGTTGTTTAGGATGTACTGGAATGTAGTCTAAGATGTATTAGAATGCTAGCTTGGCAAATGATTATAACAGAATGCCAAATTGCCTGCATCCATTTATGATCCAAGTCCTTTCTGGAATCACTAAATTGAGGAACTTAATCTGCCATTAATTTTGTTTTGTTTTGTCTTTTTTTTACACTATTATCACCCTTTAATATGTCAGCAATTAATTATGTCCCTAAGTGGCATTTTCTTAAAACCATTTTTCCCCCTCAAATTAATTTAATCTTTTTTCATGTCAGAGATATTTTTAAGATTCAATATGCATCTCCAATTTCATTTTTATAGAATTTGCTAAATTCATCCTATAAATTCTGAACTGGGCTTATAAACTAAGTTTAACTATCCTTGTCTCTTCTTGCTCGCATTTCTGACCATCCTGGCTTTCCCACAGCTGCATGATTTCAATTGGTCCCTTCAGCTGCAAGGTCACAGGAATTTCACTGCTGCCACAAATAAACCTTTCAGAGTCATATAACTTCAACAAAAATAATACTTCATTCATCTGCCTTTTATTCTTCAAACAAACCATCCATGAAATTACCAATTTTGAAAAATATAATAGACTTTATGAAGAATAACATTATTTTCAAAATGTTAGAGATATCTGAAAACCCCCAGTATTATTTATCTTAACTACTATGAAATTTTTATAATACTCCTTCCTGAGCAACAGTCTCCTATCATCTTAATTTATCATTGATTCAAATACTGTTTAAAGAAGTGTACTTTATATAAACAACACACTTAGAAAAACAGTTCAATAGTTCCCAAATTTTGAATATTTCTTAAATTTTTAAAACGTATTTTAGAGAAGTCAGTTTGTATCTTCAGTATAAACTTATGTGAAAAGTGACAGACACCTAAGTTTACCCTCAAAAGTTTGTTTTAACTGTAATGTAGCTAAAGTGTTATAACTGATATATTTTTTCTATCCTTGTCAAAACCAATATGTCGCCAGACCACAAGAATCCTCGAGAGAAGGGAAAAATGATTTTGTCCAGGTAGAAGAGGCACTGAGTGAGCAAAGGAAGAGTCCCCATCTCACAGAGACAGTAAAATTTAGGAAGTATGGCATGGTCTACAATGGCAGTCCATTAGTACTTGAGCTCTGAACACTGAGGCAAGAGTTTCCAGTTTTTCAAACTTTAAAAGTGTAAAAATAGTTGGTCAAACTTCCTAAAATACAGTGAAGGATAGAATATAAAATATAAGCATCTAATTTGATTATCTTTGATAGTCACTTGCCTACTCCAAATCTTTTACAATTAAGTGTCATCTACAAAGAGTTGTGATTACTTTAAATTAGTTGTTCAATAGGATGACATGAAATAATGCCCTTAGATTATCAGCTGCTTCTACTGCATTAAAATTAGGGCCAAGAAAATACAAATAAATTATTGCCCTCTCTTTTTAGAACAACTGATTCTGCTTTTAAAACTACACATCCTCAAAGTCAAGTGGTATGAGAAGAAGAAAGATTGAGCAGAAAATAAATGGCATGCCCTTAAAAAAAAACATAGTGATATTATTTCCTACTAGAGGGCCAGTGCACGAAATTTGTTCATGGGTGGGGTCCCTAGGTCTGGCTGGCAATCAGAACCTTCTGGCTGCTGGCTGGGGCCTTCCTTCATTCTGCGCCCACCCTTGGTGTTCAGCATACATTATAGAGAGTGATTGAACTCCCAGTCTCCCGGTTGAACTCCGAAGGGACACTTTGCTTTTTAGATAGAAGGTATTTTCTAAATTTCAATATACTTACAGTACTTGCTCCAGAGATATGATAAATCAAAATCACAAGTTGCATCCAGCCTTTCCATTCATCTGTTTGTTCTCTATTTAATACTTTAGTCTGTGAAAAGAACCAAAATCTGTTTCAAAATTCACCATGAAACTATTATTTGGACAATTTATACTAAGTATGTTAAAATTATTCCTATAGGCTTTTGTTAAAAGAATTTTCGACAGGGGGGAATTAAAAATAGTGATTTTATTTCTTGATAAAAGATATAATATTAATTTGAGAACTAATATGAACTAACAGATTTTAAATAGCATTTAAGTTGATACCTATGGTTTTATATTAAGAGTACATTTAAACTATGACAATGGTTTATAAATCTAAAAAAAAGGCATTTTCTAATTTTAAGAAAGTTAAGATTTCAGTTAAAAAAGATCTTACAGTTCTTATACTTTATTGTTAAAAAAAAAAAAAGGAATATTTCCTTAGAATATTCTCACCAGATATGAAGAATAGATTAATCATTCTCATATGAGTTATTTCTTACAATAGAATTTATTAAATAAATAAGTCATATCTTATAATGGAATTATACTAACATTCTGAGCAACTACAGAAATGCTAAAATAGGAACTTCAGGTATTATAAACATTTGCCCACATTATGTAAATTCTAATTTGTGTGTACATGTCTGATTATATAAATATAAAATGTTTATGCATATAGGCATTAATAAAATTATGTATACATAATAAAATTGGAAGTCACTGCACTTTCTCCATCCCCATGAATGCAAAATAATACAAAACCATGACATCTTTTTCACAGGTCATTATTTTCAACTTTCTAACAATCTTCACGGAACTCTTTGAACTTCCTCCAAAATGTTTCAAAAAAGTTAAGTATAACCACAACATTCATTTATCCTCTCTAATATACATGCTTATATATTTTGGCATGATAAATGATATTATTTTTTAAAATCTAGAGTTTATAATGAAATAAGGATAAAAAGAAAAGAATTCTTACCTCTTTAGTATTTTCATTGTAAAATACTCCCAAAACCAAGATATAGATAATTGGAATAAAAAAAGTTGAATGTGTATAAAATTTGTTTTCCTTCATAAATAGATCTGCACGGTCACACATATAGAAATAAGCCATAATCAGGCCAAGTTTGCACAAAGATTGTAAAAGTATTTCTAATGGAGACATGGGGGTATTGATAATATTTTTCTTTTCCTCTCCACTTTCCAAATCAGTACATGGCTTATTCTTCCGATGAGCATTACGATGAATTATATAAAAAACTAAATATCCAACAATAGATAAAGTGAAAAAACAAGCAGCTAGCTTCTGCATGAGAGTCAGAGGAGGCCGAGGCTGACAACAGGAACCATCTACAGGCTTCAGTATCTTATTGCAATACACGTTCATAAGAATCATTGCACTCTGTGAACAAATCAAGTTATTTGGTTATTATCCTGTCAGTAATATATTTCACATTAGATTTTCTCTTGTGAATACTATTGATTTTTCAGCACTGAAACCAAAATGCCTTTGTACTTTTTACTACCATTTCCCAACCACTCATGCAAATAATGCTATTCCTTCAATCTGTAATAGCTAGTCTAGGACTTTTCAAACTTCTTGGGCTATCATCTGTAATGAAAAATTCATTTTTATAATGTGACCCAGACACATATATGGGAAACAATACCTACCCTTACTACTTATAATGCACTCTTACATTTTTGTGTGTGTGTGTGTTGTTTTTTTTTTATGGGAAAAAAACCCTAATTTCATGGGTGCTAATGGGCTGTGGCCTTTACAATAGTGTGTTGAAGGCCTGAGGTGGGCTAGAAGGGGCAATGGGGAAAAAGGGACATATGTAATACTTTCAACAATAAAGATTAAAAAAAACGACTAATGTCAAAGATCAAAGAATTTTAATTATCAGCTTTTCAATATAGAAGATACCAGGACACTTAAGATAGAGTTCCAGTTTTTAGATGTAAAAAAAAAAAAAAAAAAAAAAAAAAAAAAGTAAAATAACTCATTATTTTAATTCTTAGCAAATAATATTTATAATATGCCCTTCATTTGATTACAGTTAATGGACCACTTAGGATTTAGTTTTAAGATTTCTAATGTTAAATAAAGATTTCTAATGTGGCATCTTGAACATGGTTGCATTATAATAAAAATATTCTAGGCAAGCTATCAAGATTCTGTCTAGTTGAAGGTTCAGTCAAATCTAGTTTTTAAAAAACTTTATAGTTTAGATATCATCGGAACTCTAAGATGATTATATTATTTAAACCTAAACATTCAAAATACTCAACTATACAGGAAATCTCACCATTTTAGCCCTGGGTTCTGTGCCTAGTACTCCTGCAGATACTAGCCTACGAACTCCACCCCCAAGTTCTTAACCAGTTCCAGGGGGTTCAAAAGCCCCGTAAAGTATGTACACAAACATGCATTTTTCTGCAGGAGAGGAAAGTAAACTGTTGCTTTTTACTGAACACTCAAAGAGGTTATGTGATCTTCAAAAAGGTCAAGGATCACCGCTTTATAAGAAAAGAATAACTAAAAAATATCTGTTGTACTATGTATGAAAATTCATAATTATCAGTTCTCTTTCATATTGAACTTAGCAACCTTTTACATCTGTCAAGCTGGATTTTCTTCAGAGTTTACTATGTGCATTGAATAGTCTTTAGGGCATCAAAGGAAATCTGATTTATTTATAAGAAAATAAAACTATTCTACATATTAAAAATGTACTCTTCATAGAGGCTTAATCTTGTTTAAGGCAGGACCACTAAGCTGTATTTTTCAAACATGAGTTTTCTGTGAACTTATAAGCTTCTTGATTAGACAAAGTATAATAAGAGTGACTAGCACTCAATAAATGAAGTTTTATTTCCTCCTTTCCATAGCTTCTTTCCCTTTCAGAGTACACAAAAACTCTCACTTTATACACAGCTAGGTGATGAAGTAAAATTTATTTCTAGATGTTTAAAAATAACTACAAATAATTGAGACTGCAATAAAATTATTTATTACCATATATAGTGACATATAGTTACTATACAATTAGATATTATAGTCTCTATCTGACAGATACAAGAATTCTTACAGTTTCTCTGCTTGATTCTGGAAGATGTAAGCCATCCAAAGATTCCATGATAGTTTCTTGAGCAATTAATTTGGAAACACTGAACATCTTAACATGTGATTTAGAATTTCTGGTGCTACTATTCAAAACACTGACTGCAGCTTCATTGTAAGCATCTATCTTCTCGTTAGTGATCATTTTCCTATTTTCACTTAATAGATCTTCATAAACAGGATCTGCACATGAAACACATTATTAAATACACAAATGTTGGGAATATAGGACATGTACGTGCAAATGAAATTAAACCACCTTCTTATACCTTCTTATACCATACATAGAATAAACTCAAAATGGATCAAATACTTAAATGATAAACTTAAAACCATAAAAATCCTACAAGAAAACATAGGCAGGAAAAATCTCAGACATTCTCATAACAGTATTTTTTCTAATCTATTGCCTTAGGCAAGGGAAACAAAAGGAAAAAAACACACATGGGACTACATCAAACTAAAAAGTTTCTGCACAGTAAAGGAAACCATCAAACAAATGAAAGACAAAACACTTCATGGGAGAACATATTTGCAATGATATATCAGATAAGGGTTTAATATCCAAAATTTATAAAGAAGTTAAATTTAATACCAAACAAATAAACAATACAATTAAAAATAGGCAGGGAACATGAGTAGACACTTCTCCAGAAGACTTACAGATGGCTAGTAGACATATGAAAAGATGCTCAACATCACTAATCATCAGAAAAATGCAAATTAAAACTGAAATGAGGTACCACCTCACACCAGTCAGAATGGCTATCAATAAATCAACAAACAATAAGTGCTGGCAAGGATGTAGAGAAAGGGAACCCTCGTGCAGTGTTGTTGGGAATGCAGATTGGGGCAGCCACTGAGGAAAGCAGTATAAAGTTACCTGAAAAACTTAAAAATGGAACTGCCTTATGCCCAGTGGTTCTACTTCTGGGAATTTATCTGAATAAACCCGAGACATTAATTCAAAAGAATATAGGCACCCCTATATTCATAGCAGCATTGTTTACAATAGCCAAGATTTGAAAGCAGACCAATTATTCATCAGTAGATGAGAGGATAAAAAAACCTGTGGTACATTTACACAACAGAATGCTACTTGGCTGTAACAAAGGAAATCTTACCCTTTGCAACAACAGGGATGGACCTGGAGAGCATTATGGTAAGTGAAATAAGCCAGTCAGAGAAAGACAAGTACTATATGATTTCACTCAGATGTGTGAATCTCATGAACAAAATGAACTAACAAGCAAGAGAGCAGGCTGACAGGTGTCAGGGAGGGAGGTGCTGGGGACTGGAAGGATTGAGCAAAAAAGAAAAAGAAAAAAAAGTCATGGCCACAGACAGCAATGTGGTGAATGCTGGGGGAAAGGGTAGTGGGGAGTGGAAGAGAGTGTAGGGGGGATAAATAAATGATGATGGAGGAGACTTGACTGGGTATGGTGAATATACAATAGAGTGTACAGATGATGTGCTATAGAATTGTGCTCCTGAAACCTGTATAATTTTGTTAACCAGTGTCATCCCAATAAATTCAATAAAAAAGAAAAAAAAGCATGCACTAAAAAAATTCTTGTAGAAATTGTGATCATGCAAGTTAGTTGATTGTATTTCATATTTTGTTGTTTAAGTTCAGAGGATTCCAGGCATCTAGTAATTTATTTTAAAATAAAGCTGGCCAAGATTTGCAATAGACTTATCTTACATTCAATTTTTAAATTAATCAGTCAATATCTTTCTCATTTTATGTTTTGGCATGTCTTAGAGGAGTTTAAAATTTTGGAATACTGGGTTATACTGGGTAATGGGAATTTAAAACTGGATTGCAGAAAACTGCCTAATGAAAAATAGCACCCAGTCTTTTATTTCTTCTGTCACTGCTTAATTTATAAATTTTGTTCACACAATTAAGAGGTTATATTATTGAAGATCAGGTCTCATAAATAATTTAAATTTAACTTTTTCTCATTTTGGTGAGGGAAAGGTTAGCAATGAGTCTGTAAATAAAGATTGTGAAACAGATGATCACCATCCCTTTTATTTTTTTCAGCTTGACATTCAATTTGGAAATAATCGTAAGAGTTTCTGACAAACAACTTGAATTGCTAAAAAACCCAAGGCATTTCATATTGTGCTAGGCATTAAATAATGGACATTCAATAAACTCCTGAAATGAGTTGATGTAATGTCAATTTTTTCTAAAAGAATTTCATTACCAAGCATAACCTAGATGGTATGAATTTAAATATATTCTGTCAGTTCCAAAGAGTATTTACTTACAATGACTCAAAATTATGAAACAGACTTAGTAAATTTTTTCTTATATTTCCCAATCACAGTAAATATACTTTGTAAGAAGTAAAAAATCAGAGGTAAACTTCTCATTTGCTTTAGAATGTATTCTCTTTGTTACATTCACAACCATTCTGCCTACTGTGGCTCCTTGGGGAGTATTTTTACTTATTTATTATTTATTTTTTTACTTCTGTTTATTAGTCTGTCTGTTCCTTAATTTCAAAAGGGGAAAGCAAATAACTCAAGTTTATTCTGATTTTGCAAACCTTATTTCAAACTTTATTCTCATAAAGCAATAATTTTGCTTCTCGAAATAGGAGATAATAAAAACCCATGACTCAAAATATATATAAAATGACATTTTTTCATTATTCATCTCTTACCTTGTAAGACCCAATAAACATCACTAGTCTTTGCCAATTTTTCTAGAAGTGGTGCTATGGAGGTAATGTTCATTTTATATTGAGACAGTGCTTCGTTGCTGCCGTTGTGAATCTTGATAGACCACTAAAATGAAGTAAAAATTAAGCATTAATTCATTACTTATCACTGAAAAATTAAAGTATATAATTTTTTGCTCTATTGTAACAAAGGTTATCATTTTAAGATAATTTCCATTTTTATTCAATATCAGAATAAATTATGGTCACATTATTTCATGAAATATATGAAGTTAGAAAAAGCAGACATAAAATTAGAGTTTCAATGTATAACATTCAAGAAGAATATAATTTTAGATATAAAATAATATTGACATTTAACACTAAATTTTCTAAGTTCATCCATATCTTTTAATTAAAATTCACCAGTCTCATTAATTAGAATAAAAATAGGAATTAAAATATAAGTACAATCAAGAATTCTATTTAATATAAGTTAACTTTTTCTTAGCATGTCCTTAAGTATGAAATGAAAATCATTATATAAGAACATAGATAATAACTTACTGTGGCAGCTCCTGCTACAATCACATGGGGCTTTGCAACAGGATCCTAAAGAAAGAAAAAAAACCCCTTTATAATAGTACTATACTTAGTTCAGAGAATTAATAAAACATCATTTAATTCTTTTCCTTAAATTTAAGTTCTTCTTTCTTCTAAATGCATTTTAATTTTCTAGAGTTTCTTCCTGAATTCTTGTTATAACAAGATTAAAGGCCTGGTGCACCTGTGCACTCTCACAGTCCATCACAGTCCAGGCTCTCACAGTGTGGGACCCCTGCTCCTTACTGCTTGCCTGCAGCAGAGGCGGGAGAGGCTCTTGCCACTGCCACTGTGCTCATCAGCCGTGAGCCTGGCTTCTGGCTGAGCAGCATTCCCTCTGTGGGAGTGCACTGACTACCAGGGGTAGCTCCTGCCTTGAGCATCTGCTCCCTGGTGGTCTGTGCATATCATAGCAACAGGTCGTTCCTGACGTTTGGTCAATTTGCATATTAGGGTTTTATTATATAGGATGGATAACCAATGCCTTTTATGCAGGATGACATGAGGCTTTTATAGATAATTCTTTGGTGTCCCTTACAAAAAGAATAAAATCGTTACTGCAAATTAACCATCACTCTGCTACACAAGACACACCCACCAACCAATCAGGGTGAGTATGCAAATTAACCCAACTAAGATGGTGGTTAATTTGCATATCAAGACAGCATAGAAAGAAGCCAAGCCTGCAGAAGGGAGTGAAACTTTGGAGAAGCAAGCTGGGCAGAGGAGAAGGGAGGAAAACAGGAGGGGCTGGGCAGGGAGAAGGGAGGAAAGCAGGTGGGGCAGTGACCACAACAGGAAGCCCTATTGCAGGAATCTTCAATAGTATCTAATATGGCCTAATATTATTCTGAACAGTGAGTAAATTGCTTAAGAGTAAATCTCTAGTATATTATGCCAGCCAATTAAAAAATATTCATGAAATACAGTTTAAATCTTAAGTAAAATAAGATCAGTGTCCTAAAGAAACAATATTTTGGGGAAGCCAAATCCAATAAATATTTAACAAAAGAAGCTGATAATTATTATAGACCACAATGTGGGGGAGGGGGGAGAAATTGGGTAGAAATCTTCATCAAATGCAAATTGTACTCTTAATGAAACTACCAATTATGTAGTACTTTCTTTTAAATTAGTTCTTTTTAATATAGATTCTTACTACCTGTGAGATAATGCAGGAAGATATTATACAGATCTTATAAAACAAGAGTACTGACTCAGAAAGGTTTATTAGGGTACTGCTGAAGCTTGGCAGGACAAAGCCAGAACTTAAGTCTTTTGATTCTGAGTTCAAGGCACTTCCAAAATATAAAAGATTGATATTATAACCATGTGCCCAAGAAACAATTAAAAATAAGAAATTAGAAAAACATCTGACCCAAATATAAAAATGAGTTAGGGCTCATTAAAAAGGTAATACATACTTGCATAGAAAACTATGAAAGCAGAGAAAAATAACAAAATTAACCTATTTCCCTTCAGAGATATTTTTGTTTCTAGTCTAGCATCCTTAACCAACCTTGCTGAGTAAGTGCCTTTGTTTTACAAGAGATGTGTAATATCTTCCAGCCTACCTCACTGGTGGCAAGAATCTATATTATATTACATTGTGCTAACTTAGAGAAACGAACATACCGTGTTATTTTACTGAAACTTTTCCCTCATCCTTTACCCCTTTTATTCCTTTTCTCATTGTTCACAATGGTAGTCCCAAATCTTATTCACCTTATACAGGTCCCTCTTATCCTCTTATTTTCCAAATAAAGTCAAATTCTCAAATTTAGAAGAGAAAAGACGACTTCACCTAGCTGTATGTTCTTGCCTTCCTCCATTCTTACAACTTCATCCATATACTCACGCAGCCTATCTTCCTCTGACAGGAGAGTAAAGAAAATATGTCCATTCCTTCTAATGGCTAACCTTTATTCTGTGTCCATATCCCCTTCCTTTTTACTGCTGGGGCTGTATCCATGCATTATTTCCTTTAACTCTCCTATTATAAATTCCATCCCCTTTCTCCACGTTTCTGCCTTCTCTCAATCTACAAAGTGTTCAATTATCACTCTCAGAAAAGATTTTTCCTTCAACCTTATCACATTCTCAAATTCTTCCCCCTCACATCCTTAACCATCAAATTACTTGAAAGAGCATTACACCTTCACTATGCCTATTTTTCTCTCTCTCATTTATCATTTAATTTATCATGTTTTGATTTGGGGCTTCACCATCCATTAAAACTGCCCTCAAAGTCCATTAATGAACTTAGGATTGCCAAGTCCTAAAGTGACACCACTGACTAGCCACTTCTTTAAAACTCTTTTCTATATTACATGACAGTTATTCTTTTCCCGCTTTTCCTTACCCGTTTCACTCCCCCTTCTCAGAATCTTTTGTATAGTTCTGTTCTTAAACTCTTTGTTAATTTCTAAATTCTCTACCTATTAAATTTCTTCCATTCAAGTAACTTCAAATAACACCCCACTCTAGAGCAAAACTCCCCAAATCGACCTAAATATCTCAGACTTCTTCGTGACTACCATTCACCTAGAGAATTCAATTTAAATTGCTGGTTTCTTCACAATTTATTCTAATTTCCCACTGCTACCCCACTATATTTCCATGCCTGCCTTTACATCTAACTCACCTCTGAACATTATGAGCCAAAACATTCTAGGCTTTACTTTTAGGTCACAAATGTAATGATAAAAGGGAAGAAAATAGGCTATTACAAAAAGTTTTTTTTTGTGTGTGTGTGTCATATTTGGGCATGAGTTTAAAAGAAAAAGTGGAAAAACACTCACAGGGATGTGCATTGTGATAAAAAGATTACCGGGATTTGAATTAACTGAGCTATAGCAGTTATCGCCTTAGGGTTAGAATGGCGATAGAAGAGATACTAGATCAAAATACTTTCTTTCTCAGTTGAGTAAGAGAAGCAATCCAGCACAGCTTAGTTGCTATCAAGAAGGATGTATAAAGTGCAGAAGAGTGGGACAGCTGAATAAGGAGAGAAAACAATGGATGCTCATGAACTTCAAAAATTTGGTTGTGCAAGCTGATTGATGTTGAGCCCTCACATCCATTCTTCTCTCTCTCTCCTTTCTTTATAAACTATTCTTTTAAAAATAAAAAAAATAAAATATTGTTGTTCAGAACTAGAAAGAGCTGCATTTTCAAATACAGACCTCAGTCCACACTTTGATACACTGCTTCATAGAACCATTAACTTCCGGATGCCACAGAAAATCCTAAGAGAAATGTAAGAAAAGAGAAACTTAAAGAAATGTTATATACACCATTCAAAATAAGAATTAACATATCTCTTACAAAGTATTTAAAAGTAAAACACCACCTTGTTGGTTTAAGAAGTACCAAATAGTCATGGATATAAATACAACATATGAAACATAGGCAATAATATTGTAATATTATAATTATGTATACTGTTAGGTGGGTATTGGGAATATTGGGAGAACACATTGTAAAGTATATGATTGCCTAACCACTATGTTGTATACCTGAAATCAACCCAAAATAATCTTGACTATAAACTATAATAGAAAAAACAATAATTACTAAAAACCTCTTAAAATAAATGTACCATAAGACAAAGTTCAAAAACTAAAGCCAAATGAACTTTAAAAGATATTTACAACACATATAATTTATTTTCTATTAAATCTATCTTGAGCTACAAAAACAAAAACAAAACAAAACAACAAAACACCACCTTGTCTATGACATCTTCATCTCCTATCTCAATTTGGCAAAAGTTTCACAAGATTTCCTTGTATTCACCGTTATTTTTCTCTAAACTATTTTCCATATTTTAGTGAGAGTAATCTTTTGAAAATTTAAAATCTGATCTTGCCCCATTCCTGCTTAAATCCTCCAGGAATTTCAATTGGCTTGAGAATAAATTTAAGTCCTTAAAGTAGGTAAGAAAGTACAAAATCTGGCCTCTGCCTACACATTGTGCCTTTTCTCCTGCCACTATCCCCCTGGTTCTGTATGCCCTTTCAGTTCTCATTCAGCTCCTGGAATGCTCACTGTGTTTCTCTAGGCACATACTGTTCCTTCTGCCTAAAAGGTGCATAAACTCTTCCACTGAGTTCGACGTGCTCTTACTAATCTTTGAGGCCTTAGTTAAAACATCACTTCCTCAAAAAGAAAAACTACTTTTAACTTCTTGCTTTCTACATTACTAATGTCCCATTTTTTCCTTTTTGCCACCCTTATCCCACATTTATTTATATGTAAAGAATTACAATGATTTGCAAGTCCCATTGGTCTAGGATGCTGTATTCTTAATCTTCATTATATTCTCAATATCCAGGAGTCACGGTGACTGGGAATTCAGAAAATTCACATATATTCTTTGATGGACATTAATCTTGAACACATACTAATTTCAAATTAATGTACAAGATTATTTTTTTCCTGGATAAAAATCCGAGAGAGCAAATTTTCTATTTTATTACACAAAATAATACACATAAACATTTACTCAATTATGCTATCTACTCTCAATAGAATGAAATATATTTAGTATGTACAAAGTATTAGCTGCTATAAATAAATTAACCAATGAATATAGTTTTGACATTATAAGATTTAGCTTATTATTATATGAACTTACCACTTTAACTGATGCAATCTTGTCTTCAAAAGGAATGTTTTCATGCTGCCATGAAAAAAAGGAGACAACAGAGCAATACTAATGTAGAAATTTTATGTAAATAATCCTCCCTTTAGCTGTTTTTGTTGACTAACTTATGCATCACATCTCAATTCTCTATATTCATCCTGAAGTGGAAAAGATCTCATAGAATAACAGAAAAGTAAGTGACACTAAATTGTTTATATGTGCTTTTCCACATCAAAGATGTAGTTCAAAGATAAAACTTCAACTACAAACAAGCAACATGTATATGAACATGCTTATATAAATTATTTTTTTTGCCAAGCTTGCCATAATTCCAATTTAGTCCTAGTATTATCTATGCCAGAGACAGTCGGGTAGTGAGGGAAGCTGTATATATACCAGGATTCCAACCAGCGACCTCTTAGTACATGGATGACACCCATGAAACTAAGCCACACCAGCCAGGATGCTGTATTTCTATTCTTAAGTAAGTTCTTAAAAAGTCCTTCAGCTAAATAGAGCGTGTAAGTAATTTTCATTTATTTGCTATAATAAAAATTAAGATTCATCCACTATGGAAATATTAGATATTAGATTTGGTTTAGTTTTTTTCTTATACATCCTAATTCTATCCTTTTAGTCCTTGTCCTTAATGTTTTACTATGTATCTTTAAATGAAGTTCTACCATAAGATAATACCTTAAAAAGAGGACATTAGAATACTTTGCTTGTGATATCTCCCTCTGGCTTACAAGCGATTATTGGCCAGTTCTTTAGTACTTTCTTTTTATAGACATTATTATTTTAAACAGGCACTATTTGAATAGGCTTACACGCATGTTTATTCTTTTTTTTTTTAAGTGCTGTTTCTTATATTTCACATCACTTAAAAAAAATATTTCCATCCTCCCAGAAGTTTATCCTTTAGAAAATTTTGGACAAACCCTCACAGTTTTTATGTATCTGATAATATCCTATAGTTCAACAACGGATAAATCTGTATGGTAGGTATATAATTCCACACTGAAATTTATTTTCTCTCAGAATATTAAAGCTATTATTCTACTGTTCCCTGGCTTCCAATATTAATACTGAGAAATATGTTGGCCCAAAACTTAGTGTTCTCACAGTGGGCATTGCAGCTACTGCCATCTGTCTTCAGGGCAATCCAACTCTCTACTGAGTGCCTACTATTATAGTTCCCATCTCTGGTTCTGCCTCATAGGTGTTCCTTTTTGGGGAGTGTCTTCCATTTCTTCAAATATAGAAATACAACACCGGTGGGTTTTTTTGTTTTGTTTGTTTGTTTTAATCTAAGATTTAGTTGGTTTGAGGTGGAAGGGGCCCCCAGTATCTAGCTGCCAGCTGGAAGCAATGCAAATAGTTTTCTTTAAGACTTCTCAAGTTTTTAATATCCTCACCTAAATTAAAACCATATAAGAGGGGAATATGATACCCAACTCTGTCCAAACTCATTTGACCAGAGAGCCTTAAAGAACTAATCTTCCACAAAATATAATTTGATAAAAGTCCTGCTCTAAAGCTTCATTTAAAAAATGTATTTTTCTCAACACAGAAAAGAAACATATTCAAAGAATTATCTTCAACAATCCTATTCTACACAAACCCATACCAAAGCTAAAATAATGATGATGATGATGATGATGATGATGATAATAAGCTTTTATAATATGCCAGGATGTGTTAGGCACAAGAACTTTAAAAAATAATGATCTCTGTCTTCAAGTTGTTCAGAAACAAGAGAACTAAGTGAAATGCAATTTGGCAAATGCTCCACTAGCAGTTTGAACTAAATAGTTTCTTAATAGTTGTCTCTTTAAGACTGTGACAAACTGTGTTTGTTTCTTTTTTTAGAAAAATGCATATAAATTTAAATATATCTTGCTTGAGAATTGTGAAATAACAATGAACCTCTAGAAAATAAAAATTGGAAACCTAGGTGTTATAACTGGGGCTCAGAAGAAATGTACTTTTGGCTATCCAGCGGCTGCCAACAGTGGTCCGTGGACCACTGGTGGTCCTTGAGATCAGCAAGGTTGGTAACTGCTGGTTTAAGGAAACCTTTGAAGCAGTGGTTGCCAACCGGTGGTCATTAAGCCATTTGAGCATTTTTCAATTAACTGTTGACAAATCCATTATTCTAGTTTTCAGAAAGCCACAATATGCTGTCTAGAAATATTAAAACTTTCTCTGAAATCAGAATTCTACTTTTTAAAAAATATTTTTTATTGATTTCAGAGAGGAGGGGAGGAGAGATAGAAACATCAATGATGAGAGAGAATCATGGATTAGTTGCCTCCTGCAAGCCCCCTACTGGGGATTGAGTCAGTAACCCTGACCAGGAATCAAACCCTGACCTCCTGATTCATGGGTTGGCCCTCAATCACTGAACCACACTGGCCAAGCAAAATCTCTCTACTTTTTTTAAGTTTACCGAAGTGTTTTAGTTTAAACTGTGATAATCTCATGGCATTAAATAGTTTCAATTCTTCTGTATAATTCTGTGTGTATAAATACAAAAGGAGGCTACATTTATAAATAGCAAATAAAAGGAAAAGTTGACTTTATGGTTTTCTGTTATTCAGCTTTAAAATCTCTACTAGTCTTTTTTGGTAGACAAAACCTCTAATAGCCTAAGGCTTCTTCTCACAATAAATTGTTCCTAAAATTTAGTATCCACTACCATCATCACTATGTGTCTAGCTACTTGTGAAGTCCTAATTGTGAAGTCCCTAATTTTTCAACTCCTTAACACAGGGCAAGTAGATGTATATAGACAGATTTTCATCATAATGTTTTCACATAAAGGTTTTATTTAAAAAGTCATTTTTTAAAATTGCGAAAAAATAGAAAACTACAAAAAAGTTTTAAAAAGGGATAATTATATAAATATGCATTATATCCACTCAATAATTTGTTCACACTATGAAGATACTTACATTGATTATATAATAATATGAATTATGACAAGTGGTGGGGAAAGAAGCGAGATACAAAACTGTACATGCTAAAAGATTACAATTATGTTTTAAAAAAGAGACTGAATCTCAGAGGGAAGGGGGGGTGGGTGGGATGAGATCAGCCAAATAACTTGTCTACATTATATACATAACCCATGGACACAGGTAATAGTGTGATGAAGACCTGGGTGGGGGCTGTAAGGGCTAGAAGTAGTCAATGGGGAACAAAGGGGGACAAATATAATACTTCCAACAATAAAGACATGGGTTTTAAAAAAAAAAGATGGAAAGAAATATGGCAAATATTAAAAGGAGAATATGGTTATTTTCTTGGTTTTCCTTCTAAGAAATTAAAAAATTTTTTTTCCATTGTAAGAATTTATTTCTGAAAATTAAACATATAAGTTAATGGAAGGCTTGCCAATACCTACCACTTCTTTTTCTTATGCAGTCCATTATAGCAAATCATCCTTTCTTTTTCCTTTACCTTTCCAAAACCAAAGTAAAGCTTTTAAGGTTCCTTGCATTAACGTGGAGAGGCACATTCCTCCTAAAACTATTCAGTTAGTTAACTTCTAACACAATACCCTAATGAAGAGAACAATTTTTACCTTATTGCCTTCTTCTTTGAAATGAGGATTAATTATTTTTACAAATGAATAAAACAATTGGCGTATTCTGGAATCTCCAATAAATGCAATATGTTTATCTACAAGGCAGTTCTTTGCTTCACTGAAATCAACAAAGAAACATTAATTAAATAAAATCAGCTTATTGGCACTTCAAAGCACATAGTTTATGAAGAAAGTAGTACAGGATTGTTATACATATAATTACAACTTGGCTTTTAAAATAGGTGGCCATGTTTGTTTAACCTACCAGTTCCTGTATGATCAACTAACTCTCAATAATAACAGCTCCAATTTATTAAGCGTTTAAGATGAACTCTAACCATATTAAGCATTTTATATCCATTATTTCAGAATAAGTCTATGCGGTAGACTTAGCTATCCAACTCCCAAACCAAAAGTCCTTTACTCAAGGGCCTGCTTATCTCTCACCTGAGTTAAAGCAGCTTGGCTAAAAAAGCTCTTTGTTGGGGAGGAATCTTCATTTGGACTCACTTCCACTCCTACCTTCCTTCAGCAATTCTTACCATCATATATAGAAGTACCATATAGTACTTTCTTTGTTTCATCAACCCTTGTCCATTAGATATTATAACACATCATAGGAAATACAAGCAACAAAATGGAGAAATCTTACTTGTTTTTGTATTTATGCATCATACAACTGTGAGGTTGCCAAACTTTCTCTCCAAGAAATCTGCCACTTGAAAGAAGGTACTCACATGAGTCATTACCTATGAAACACAACAGTGTTGGAAACAATAGTTAAATTTTTATATGTTGGTTATCTGACCCCATGTAAGCTCTTTGAGATGAGAAACTACAAGTCTTTATGCTTCGCTATACCTTCTAGGTACATATTACTTATCTACAGAAATATAATACACATTGAGACTCCTTAACTCCTAAATGCTACATTCACTGCTTTGGCAGTTCCCTCTGCTTCAGGTTTTCTTTGTGGGAACATCATCTCAGTCACAAACAGCCTTTGTATCCGTTTATCACTCCTCCTTCTAGTAGGGAAAGAAAGGTTTAAGAAATAAAAGAGGAGACTTTAGAAATGACTTTCTACTACTCTACTAACACATTGTGCATTAGCATATTTGGAAACCTACTAGTTAATCCTGAGACATTTTATCAATCTACTCTGATTTTCACAACTTCCCCATGAGTATTCTACCCCTTTCTGTAAACGTGTGAACAGAGGAAGAGACTTATTCAGGAACCTCTTAATAAGCTTACTAAAACGTCATCCTTTTACAGTCTTACAAAGATAAGACTTAAAACTGGCCACATCAGTATCAGTAACACCATGCAGACTTAACAGTTACAACATTCAGCCTCTCTACTTCTCTTGACATCTTTTGCCTTCCTTTAGGATAACCAAGCAACTCCTCCCAGGATGGTTTGGACTGTGAGTTTTATACAGAAAGTTCCACAACTGGGCAGTCCTCAGTAAACGGGGACAGGCAGCACTCTTCTTCCTTTCGCCATTTTACTGTACATTAGCTTAAATGAGTGAAGGAGTTAGTAAGGGGGTTGGAGGCATTTAAAAAGTTCAAATATGTCAAATGGATGAGGGGAAAAAAGATGTTTAGATTAAATGTGGGGTTCTAATAAAATATATGTATTACTTAATTTAATTTTGAGTTCTTTATTAAATAGTCAACAGCACACTGTTTTACAAATAGGTAAGGTCAGGACAAAACATATGATAAGAGGAATATTACAGAACAAGAATTGTACTGAACCATTCAGACTGGAGATAAGAAAGACCAAAAGATATTTAAAAAAGAACACATCTTTTTTCTCTCAATCCAGTTACCTATTTATCTGGCCAACATGTAGATAAAAAGAAATACAAATTCAAGATATGTATATATAAATAATGAAAGTGTTGCCAATTCAGTGTCATAAATTTTAAAATAGAACAGGAAGGAAAAGTGAAAATACTGCACTACTATATCAATAACAATAGAAAAGGAAAGCAGAATATCAATTATTAAATTTTTGCAATTATATATGTAGTCTGTGCATGTTTTCTTTATTTCAAAGATTTTTTAATAACACCTCTTTAAGGAAACTATAATCAGTTCTTAATTCTTTCCAATTATTAAAAACAAGTTATAGTTCCAAAAAACAAAATTAAGTATATAAATAATCCAGGAGTAAAGAAAGGACTTTAGTAACACACAATTATTTTCCTAAAAATAGCATTCTTTTATAATAGTCATATAGAAAAATCATATTAAATGTTTAAAATTAGGATGAAAATTCCGTATTTATAGCATTTCTACCTCTTCAAATACACCTATTAAACCAAGTAAGATGTTAGCAACACATTTAATTTCTTAGAAAATTATAAGAAGTTGCAAATAAAGGTATTAATTCTGTGGGGTTTTTCTTTCTTCCTCCTTCTTATAAAGTTGTTATTTGGTTTTGATTTTTTAATAGAAGCCTAAACAGAAATACACCTTGATCAATATTCACTTTATGGAATTATGTTATTTGTTAATCATCAATATGATTTTCTGAAGACAGATTTACCATAACCAGTCTTTACCTACAGCAGAAATTGTGTTTTAAAATGTTAAGTTCCTGGTTTTCTCTTCAAAACTACTACTCACACATTCTTTTTCAGTAGTTCAGTTAATAGGAAATAATGGCTCTAATTTGATGCACCCATATCAGAAAAGCTCCACAGAAAACAAAGTGAAGTTGTCACTAAACAAAAAGCACTGTAAACTCAGAATTTTGAGACTACTGGTCTTTCCAGAGAAGTTCTTTCTTTTATAAAAATATGTTTTTACTGGTTTCAGAGAGGAAGGGAGAGGGAGAAAGAGATAGAAACATCAACAATGAGAATCACTGATTGTCTGCCTCCTGCATGCCCTCCACTGGGGATGGGGCCAGCAACCTGGGCAAGTGCCCTGACCTCCTGATTCATAGGTTTGTTCTCAACCATTGAGCCACACTGGTCCAGTAGGGAAGAAATTCTTAGTTTGTTAATGAATGCTAGTTGATGATGACTCTTCTTATAATATTTTATGATGCAAAGTTGTTTTTACAAGCCTGTATCTGAACTTAATAGTCTCTGCATATAAGTTAAGGTTCTGTCAAAGACAGAAATTACAATATATAAGCTGCATTGATAGATAATGTAATGTAACATGAAGAATTGTTAGAAAAGTAAAAGAACTGCTAACTGGACAAGTGAAAAGATGAGACTGCTTTTTATATTTGTCAGCAGAATAAATTAACCTGCTCTAGAAAGGAAAACTTTACAAAATTCCATACTGTAAAAGTGCTTTTTCTGGGGAAAAAATGTTTGGGGATCAAATCAGTAAATATAAATATAGATATAAAATAAGTTAATTTGACTTTTTAAATCATACACACACACACACACACACACACACACACACACACACTGGTGGCATATTTTCCTTTCAAAATTTACCCAGAAAAATCCCAAACAAAAGAACACAACAAAACCAGTCATTATTTTCAATTGCCTCATATAATTCTGATAGCTACTTTATAATACAACAAGCGTGAGATGAAAGTTGCTCAGATAAATCAAGCTACACACATATTCACACCCACACACACCAACACAGAGCAACTAAAGGGACAGAATTATCTACTTCATCTATGTCTAATACTAAGATTATCTTCTTGAATGGTTGTCTCACTCTTCATTCTGTTATCTTAAGCATAAGCATTCTGGTTTGTCAATCTCAAATTGCAGGTTTTTATGCACAATTTTTCTATAATAGGAAGACACTAAAAGCAAGCAAAGTAAGTAAAAAGACAAACATGTTTTGAAAAAGCTGAAAAGCAATATCTAACTCCTGAAGAAAACATCTGCTGTGCTAAGTAAAGCATAGTTGATACTTTCTTTTGAATAGAATACCTCTGGCACACTGCATCCTATTTAGAGGAATCAGCTACCAAAGCTGTGTTTCTTACCACTAACCATGTAAATCTCAGATCATAAAGTTTCCAGTATGATCTGTAGTATACTTTGTTTGCCTAAAATTCAGCAAGTTATATTTTAGTTTGTGCTGAAAAATCACCATTTACATTTTTCTTTAGATAAGCGAGGAGAGCCTCATTACAGTGGTGTCACAGGGATCAGGGTTTTCCTAGCAGTCAAAGGAAGAAAAGGTTAAGAGACCGAGGCTACTTCTTTCTTGCTTTAATTTCTGAAGCCTTGAGCTTACTTTTCTCCAAAACATGTGCTATCTAATATTTGCATTTAGTATGCCTATTGATGGAAGGAATTCAGATTTCAACAAAATTAAAGCATTTGTAGCAAGTTAACTTTATCAATTAAAATACTGAACTATATCCAGATTGGAACTACTCTTAGAGCAATAAATACTGGCCTTTTGTCATAGAAACATTATTTGGAATTTGTAATTATAATATTAATAGACATTTTGTGATCCAGTAATATTAGAGTTTGATAACATTTTGAAAAAAATATAGTTAAAAGTTTAATTATTTTAAAAATGTCATTCTAGTATATTATGTAATAGTAATATTAATAATGCAAAAAAAAAACCACCCTACTTTCTAAAATTGAGATCAGAACATAAAATTCAATTAAAAGCAGAAGAACCAAATGCAAGAAGAAAAACAGTAGGAAAAAGGACTCTAAAAATCTAATGATCTCATATTTATGAAGTTAAGCTTTGTGTGTTAAGTTTTGATGATTTAAAGATAAACAAAACACTCATGGAAGCTCAAGGATGTTTTGTGTGGGGGAAGACAGATAAAAATTATTATAATACAACATGGTAAGTTGTACTAATTGCTGTAAAAACATTGAACTCCTAATTCTGCCCTCTGTGGTGGTGACATTTGAACCAGGCCTTGAAGAAAAAAATCTGTTCTTTCTTTGCAGGAGAAAAAGACCATCGAAGTCACAGAAAATAAACTATTTGTGAGATACATAAAGGGTAAAGCATGCTTAGACTGTGAGCCTGGAGTTTAGGAAGAAGAAAACAGGTAATAAAAAGTAGGCTGGTCAGATTTTGAAGTTCTACATATGCAACTTTTAAAAAGTCACTTTACTGGAAAAAGAATAGGAAGTTTCTCGCTGGTGCCGTACAGGCTGCTTTAATATTTTTAAATGTTTAGTCCAGGTCCCTCTGGAAATGCCTTCCCACTCCATCTGCTATAATCACCACAGTGTAAGAAGCTGCAGGAAGGCAGACTAGAGCATAATGGCTTGAGGCTGACTAACTGGTTGTAACTCCTACCTCAGTCACTAACCGAATGTCCTTAGGCAACTTAACCTCTCATGACTCATCTTTAAAATGTAAATAATACCTCAACTTGCAACTTGAAGAATCCAAGAACATTGATTATAAGACACATTATTATTTTATGTAACAGTAGGAAAATTTTATCAATTAAACTTTGACATGCAATCAAAGATTTAAAAAGTCATCCTGATTATAGAAACGTTACAGATGGGGCAGAGGAGGAGAATCAAAGGTGGTAAATTGCATCTTCCTCACAGAATGCTTATAAATACAAAATGAATTAAAACGGGTAAAACCTGTTGGAATAGCACGTTGTGTTTACCAAGCTTTACTTTGTGCAGTATGTAATTCTTCTACTTTCTGTTTATAAATAAAGCAAGAGATACCAAATATGTGTCTTCTACTGCATCCACTCTCCCTTGCCTGAGGCAAACTCATACCCACACATTGGCCTAAACCTCTATATCTAATATAAGGTCCTTTTTTATTCTAGAGACTTATGATATTGTAATTCAAGCGCATAGTTATCTTTGTGTAAAGGGAACTGCACTTGACTCAATTTTACACTGCCAAAGCATAAGGATGGCTAAAAAGTTCCTGGTAAGATTATTTTTCCCAAACAGAGTCTGGCTCAAGTTCCTGACATTCAGTTTGGGCAAGTACACACACCAGGTGTCCCGCTTCACACTCAAGGAACTGAAGCACCTAGGGAAGCTGGTGAGGAGCTTCTGGAGGAGGCTTTATAAACAACCCCAGATTGCTACACTGACTCATAAATTCCATCTGACATTCTATTTCCCCTGCTGATGACAGACCCCGAAAAGGATGCAATAATCTAAATATAATCATTGGTATCCAAGCTTATCAAAAGATGCACAATGAAAAACTGGGAGGGGAGGGAGAGAAGTGGGAAGACAGATTCTTTTTACTTTTAGGAACACAGCACCAAAGTTACACATAATTGAGTTCGATTACTGTCATCTTATACCAAAGCAGCATGTGATTAACAGTAGTTAGAAAGTTTTCTTCCAAAGTACCATAGATTCATGCATCAAGATTGCCAGTTTTACTGTTGCATGTGCTCTGTTACAGCCATTTCAGGTGCACCGAAGCCCTCCCAGGTCATATGGCTCTGATCGACAGGAGACTGGAGGAGAAAGGCCAAAAGGGTATAACAATTTTTTTTTAATCTTTTAAAATCAATTTAGTGCGTTTATGCAAAAAGCGACCCATCTGTATAGCACTGGAATCTTAAGGTTTTGTATCCTCAAGCATTTGGAGAAAACAAAGCAGCAAAATGCACCAAGACGTTCTGCCCTTGGAAAGACTTCCCGGGATGAGAAGAGCTCGGATTCCAGAACAGCGCACTTGGTGGACGTCTTGCCAGAGTGGGTGCGAAATTAAATGGCAAGAGCGTTCCATGCCCACCTGTCTATTGCACAGTGCGTCTTGGCCAGTTTTATCTCACAGCCACCCAGAGCTGCCCTGATAACGGTTCCCATAATACGAAGAGCCCCAAAGAAGAGATCCCATCATTATTAATTTCCCTCGGCCTGCCAGTCTCTCTCCTAGTGGCAATTTGAGAAAGAGAGAGAAAGCAAACACACACACACACACAAGAACCCACAAGGACAAAGTCAGCATCCCTTGATGACTGCAAGGTCACTCCTTCTGAAGCAAGGAGGTGGCTGCCTTGACAATCATGTAAGCACCCACCGGCCTCCAGCTCGCCCTCACTGGCCCCCCTGGCCGCTCAAAACTTCCCCGGGGCCCATGTGCCCCGGGCAGCGCCTGGACTGGGGGGGGGGGGGGGGGTAGTGTGCAACCACAACAGAGTCCCGTGCACGTGTCTGAGTGGCAGAGGCTGTGACACCTCCTCCACTTGGCCGGGCATCGGGGCCAGCTGTCGCGGCGCCCGGGGGGCCCAGGACCAGGGGGCGGCCCCCGTCGCTGTCCAACAAACAACACAGCTCTCGGCCCGCGGGCGGTTCGGGGGGCAGAGGCCGCCGGGAACAAAAGGCTGCAGAGCCGGACCCCCAGCCAGGGGCGCGGCGACCCCACTGCAGGCGGAGGGGCCCTGGCAGGCGGCCTCTGCCTCCGGGCACCCCGGGCTGGGCGCCCCGGCCGCCTGCCCGCTCCCCACGGGCAGGCGGGCGGGAGGCGCGTCCCCTCGGGCTCCCCCGTCGGCTCCGGGACCCCCGCAGCCCCTCGGCCCGAGGAGGCGCCCCGACCCCAGCGCGGGCGGCCGGGGGAGCCGAACCGCGGGGCCTCCCCCCCACCCCCGGGCGGCCCGCGCCGGGGTCCCCGTCGGCCGGGACACCCGGGGGCACGCGGGGCCGCGCCTCCCCGGGCCGGGCGCGGGCGGGCGGCCGCGGAGCGTGGGCGTGTGTGGGCGCGGGGGGCGGCCTCGGCGCCGCCGCCGTCTCCTCCCCCGGCCGGGCAGGGGGAGGGCCCCTCACCTCGGTAGCGGCGGGAGGCGAGGTGGCACCCCGCGAGCAGCAGCACGGCCGCCAGCGCCAGCACCTTGGCGCTCCTCACGCTGAAGTAGTGGTTGATCTCCCGCTTGCCCAGGGTGTAGGCCAGAGCCGCCATCTTGGTTCCTCCATGACAACAGCGCGCGGCGGAGCGGGGAAGGGGCGCCGCGCAGGGGCCGCGCTGGGGCTGCCGCGGCCGCCGCAGCCAGGCCAGCAGCCGCCGCCCGGCCCCGCGGCCGCCCCCCGCGCCGCCCGCCGGCCCGCCCGGCCCCGCGGCCGCCGCGACCCCGGCCTCCGGCCCCTCCTCGGCCCCGGCCTCGGCCGCCTCCCCCCAGCCCCGTCTCCGCTGCTCCGCCGTGCCGGTAGCCCAGGCGCCCCGGACGCCTGTCTCCTCCCCTTCCTCCTGCGCCTCCCTTTTAGCCTCCTGCCTTAATAGCGGCTGCGTCTCCTCCGAGGGGGGTCCGGATGCCCGGGGCTCCGGGGTCAGGGGCCCCCGACGGCCCTCCGGGGTCACCGGGTCACGGGCTGCGGCGGCGGCCGGCGGCGGCGGCGGCACAGACATGGGGGGAGGGAGGGGGGACGGGGCCCGACGGGGCCGGAAGGCGCACTCCGCAGCTGCCCCTGGCTCCCCGGCTCCCCGGCTCCCCGGCCGCCCGCCCGCCCGCCACCTGAGCCCAGGTTGGGGCACTAGAACCACAGTTCCGGAAGGAAAGGACACATCACACACCGTCCCACTTCCTCCTGGCACCAGGGCACCGGGTGTCCCGGGACGTTCTGCCCCCGAGCCCGCCCCGACGCCACCACCTGGGCCGCCACCACCTGGGCCGCCTCCAGGCCGCAGGGCGCCCGCCCGCCCTGCAGCCCCCAGATGCTGGCCTGGGGTGGGAGGCCTGGGGTGCGACCAGTCTCCACTCTCAAGTCACACAGCCTGGGCCCGTTTCTCCTGTAACTTTTATTTTTTTATTTTATTTTATTTTTTTGTATTTGAAGGTCTGTTTGGCCCAGTTCCAGGGGGGCGAAGATAAGCCAGTGTGCAGAGGGAGCCTAGCGCGGAGCCTCCCTCTTTATTGGCGTTTACACAGGGTGGATGTGCCAGCCAAGGGGTGTGTGTGTGTGCATGGGGCGGCCATCCCCGCTGCCACAGGTGGTTCATGGTTTGTGGTTCTGCATAAAGAGAAGCATCCCTTGCCGAAACCGAAACCGGTTTGGCTCAGTGGATAGAACCTCGGTCTGCGGACTGAAAGGTCCCGGGTTCGATTCCGGTCAAGGGCATGTACCTTGGTGGCAGGCACAACCCCGGTGGGGGGTTGTCCAGGAGGCAGCTGATCAATGCTTCTAGCTCTCTGTCCCTCTCTCTTCCTCTCTGTAAAAAATCAATAAAACATATTGAGAGAGAGAGAGAGAGAGAGAGAGAGAGGGAGAGAGAGAGAGAGAGAGAAGCTCCCCTTGGCCCTGTTCCACCACTGTTTTCTGTCCTTTGCCCTCCTTTCATCCTATCCTGTTTTTCTGTTTTTCTTCTTGGTGTGGCCTGTGCAGCCTTCCATGCGGGCATGCTTTCTGACATTGCTTCCCTTTCTCCTTGCCTGGTGTAGCATGGGCCCTTGGTCAGTGGGGGTGTCTTCAAGGATTCTTGGCCCCCAACTTTCCCACGTAGCTGTTCCTGAACTGGTGTTCATAGGCCCCTCTTAAAATCATGGAGCGTTAGATATGAAGGGACAATAGAGATCTCGTCACCCCAAGCCTTTTCAATCCACGGACTCTTTTTTATTATGTTTTCATCCAAGGACCCCATATCTTGAAAGATTTTGTCACTTAAATGAAATCACATACATCACTGTCGTGGGTGCAATGCTAATAAAGCAATAAAGTTAAAATAAGAGTACAAACACTAGGGCTCTGTTCCCTGCAAGTGCTCAGCTTAATTTTGGCTGTCACTCTTCTAATCCAAGGGTAATCACATGCTGAGGAATTAAATCAGATATTGCTAAACTCAGATAAATAACTTCGCTAACAATATACGGTCTGCCAGTCACATTCCCAGAAATTGCTATGATGTCATCAACAGCAAATTAGAATTTCTGATAAGTGTGTGATAACCAGTGTTAACCCACAAGAGTTGATGGAACGTCTGCCAAAAGTAAAGAAACTTGACATTTTGTTTAATGGTAATTTCCAGAAGGCTTTCTGAAATATTGTAAATAGCGGGTGGACCTCCTCCTTCCCTCTGCCTCTGCTCTGAAGCTCTTCCTGTCCCCCTTTGGGGGAGTGTTGGTGATTTCATCAGTCATCCCTATGTCAATTATCTCCTGTTGGTCTCTTAAAAACTCTCCCTTGCTCCTGGCTGCTTCCTTCGCACCAATTAGTTTTCTCTTTTTAGTGAAACACATCCATAAACTGTGTTTTTGTGTGTTTACCTCTGCATCTTTCTTTCCTTCTCTGACAAGTATCTAGAAAGAATAGTGTTGACTTTGTGGTATCTACTTGCTCCCACTCCCATTCCCTCTTCTACATAACTCTCAAATATGTTGCCTCTTCTCATTTGATTGTTGCTGTTGCCTCGGGCAAGTCATGTTTTCTTGCCTGACTTTCTTATAATTGCAACTCATCTTCCTCATGTCTTCCTCAGTACGTCATCTTCCTCTTACTGCCTTTCTGACATTCTTCTGATCAGACTGAACTTCCTTCAGCTAAAATGTGGATGATGCTAAAAACTACAATAGTTAGTGGCTCCACATTTATTTGTCTGCCCTTACATGGTACAGAATGTTTATTAATGCTCAGCAGGTTACCTCACCTCCCAGTGGTCTGATAAAAGAGAAGCCATCTGATAGGAACACTGTCAACCTATTTTCTCAATGTGCATTATTTCAAAAAACAAAACCAAAAAAACCAAACCCCTTTCCCCCAAAAAAACAAAACAACAACAACAAAAAAAAAACACAACCAAAAAACCCTGTCACACTTTATCTTCCTTTTATTTATTTGTAAGCCACATATTTATTTCCCATTGTACTACAGGAAGCCATGCGGACAAGATGGGAAAGGATAAGGACACAAATAGAGCAGCCAGTTCAATAAGAGGAGCGCAGTTTTGAAGTGAGAATCTTTTGGAACAAACAGTTCCTGCTATACTGTGATCATTTATTGCTGTTTATACCAATGTGATTTTGTTTAACCAAGTATAACTGATAACATTAGTTTCAGATGTATAATACAATGATTTTTTATATATTGCAAAATGATAAACACAATGAGTCCAATTAATATAGTTAATATATTCATTATCATACAGTTACTGATTTTTTCTTATGATTAGAAGTTTTTTTTTATTTAATATATTTTATTGATATTTTACAGAAAGGAGGAAGGGAGAGAGATAGAGAGCTAGAAAAGTGGATGAGAGAGAAACATCGACCAGCTGCCTCTTGCACACCCCCCACCGGGAATGTGCCCACAACCAACATACATGCCCTTGACCAGAATCGAACCTGGGACTTTTCAGTCCACAGACCGACGCTCCACCACTGAGCCAAACCGGTTTCGGCTGATTAGAAGTTTTTAAATCTACTCTCTTAGCAACTTTTAAAAGTGCCATACATGCCGAAACTGGCTCTTCAAAGAAAACTCTCTCATCGACGTTTCTAGCTCTCTATCTCTCTCCCTTCCTCTCTGTAAAAAAATCAATAAAATATATATATATTTTTAAAAAAGCAATACAGTATTATTAGCTAGTTCCCTCTGACTTGAAAAATTTCTCTTCCCTCTTCCCAAGCTATCTCTTTCATCTGTGTCCTTGACTATACCAATACTATTCATTTGAGAACCTGGTCTCTTAAGATTCCTTCTTTATTCCTCTTCACTGTATGTATGTGTATATTCAAATGCTTCCCAGGTAAAGAACCTTCCTTAATTCACTACATTCTCTTCTCCTTAACCATCAAACTTCTGGAGGTTCAGACTATGATTACTGTTCCTATTTTTTCCGACTACTTATTGGTTCTTTAAACACTTGAAAATTGACTTCTGCTCCTATTATTTTATTTAAAGCACTCTTTCAAATGTCTGCCGAAACCTGAGTGACCACATCCAATGTCTTTATCTTAGCTTTATCTTTCCTGACTACGTAGCATAGTTGAAATATTTGCTATCTTAAAATCTTCTCTTTGTGGCTTCCATGCTACTGCATCCTTCTGGCTCTCTTCTGTCCTTTCCCAGGCATCGCCAAGAAGAGCTCTCTTGCTTTTTCAAACCTCCTATTATCAGTGGTGAGTAAACTCATTAGCCAACAGAACCAAATATCAACAGTACAACGATTGAAATTTCTTTTAAGAGCAATTTTTTTTTTAAAAACTTAAACTTCTTTTTGAGAGCCATTTTTTTTTTTTTTAAATTAAAACTTCTAACACCACTTCTTCAAAATAGACTCACCCAGGCTGTGGTATTTTGTGGAAGAGACACAATCAAGGGGCCAAATAGCTGCATGTGGCTTCCGAGCCGCAGTTTGCACGGCCCTATATGAAAGTGATTGGCCTCAATTATCCAAGCATGTAACCTGGGTTCCTCTCATTTGCTCCACAATTCTCTCACATAGGGACAGCTTTGTTGTGTATTTCATAATACCTCAGACTCAGTGTGTTGGAAATTGACTTTGTTTTCCTTCTAAACCCATTCATCCTGTTATGCTTATCATTTAGTTCATTTATACCAATGTCCTTCAAGTTATTCCTGCTAATCTTTGCCTCATCTTCTTTCTCCTCTGCCTTATTTAAAGTATGGTTTTTAATGGGGATGGGGTGTGTTCACAAGATGAGCTACTGGGTAGTCAGAACTAAGTATAATACTAAAACTTATAGTTAACTCCTGTTAAAAATGATTAAAGAAAATAAAGTTCGTTTGTATCACTTTTTGGAGAACTACAAAATAGGGTAGAAAGCTTTTATTGGATAAAGAATAAAGAAAAGGAAGAGAAAAAATAGAAAATAGCTGATTGGCTGTGGCCACATAGTCAAACTTGTCTGGGATGCAAAGAAACAGGGAAATAAGTACAGAGCCCAGAGTTTGCTTGGCATTTGGGCTTGGCTGACTGGATATACTGCATTTTGCTTAAGCAGAGTACTAGAATT